AGCCCAACGCGGGGCTTGATCTCACAAACTGTGAGATCATGACCAGAGTCGATATCAAGAGTCGGACACAACCGACTGAGCCACCCAGGAGCCCCTTTGCAACCCCGGTTTGTGACAATTTCCCCCACGGGTTTTGTGTGTGCTACAAAAACTAGCTTTTGTAATAACTAATTTAAAGAAATGAATGAGCCTCTTGTCATTGAACACAGAAAATAAGACCAAGTTAAAAAACGGGGATTATCGCTCATTATCAACAAATCTCCCACTGTTCACTCCCATCAGTCCTGCTTCCTTCAGGGACAGGATATACCAGGAGTGGTCTGCCTCCTCACCGCAACCCACACCTAGAAGGCAGGACAGAAACAACCTGGCTTCCGGTGTGTCCCTTCCGAGACCTGGAGTACCTTCTGGATACATCGTATTATCATTTCTATCCTGTAACAGGTCACAGTGTAAGAGTCCGTTCTCTCTTAATGGTCCAGAGGGTTTGGGCAAAATGCTTTCTGATTACTGCTCACCTCCCAATCTGATGGACTCACACACAGTTATACATCAGGTTTGAAAAAGGTGTTTGCATCCTTGATGGTACGAAGGACAGCATCACAGGCCAGTGGAAAAAGGAAGGCCTAGCTAACAAATGCTGTTGGGACAAGTGGCGAGCCATATGGAAAACATAAAAGTAGATCCCTGCCTTCTTTCATATACTAAAATAAGTTCTAGATGGATTAAAGACCTAATTACGAAAAGTAAAACTTTTTAAAAGATGTTTATTTATTTTGAGAGAGAGAGAGAGAGAAAGAGAGAGACAGAGGGAGAGAGGGGGAGAGCACGCACATGTGCACGAGTGGGGAAGGAGCAGAGAGAGAAGGAGAGAAGGAATCCCAAGCAGGCTTCGCGCTGTCAGCATAGGGCCTGATATAGGTCTCGATCTCACAAACCATGAGATCGTGACCGGAGCCGAAATCAAGAGTCAGAGGCTTATCCGACTGAGCCACCCAGGAGCCCCAGTGAAACTTTTTTAAGCTCAATAAGTAAATACAGAAAGCTGTCGCCATGACCTGGGGCATTCATCTTCTTAAAGAGTTGATAAATCTGACTAGTTAATATTGAAAACACTTGTATGACAGAAGATATCATACAAAGGAAGCTAAAAAACGAGCCACAGACAGGAAGAAGAGAGAACAGATAAACGATGATTATCAGGATAAAGAACTCCTAAACTCAATGAGAAAAAGACAACAACCCAACAAAAATGGGAAAAGGAAGACGCAATTTAGAGGATGCCCGCGGTAGCTGCTAAAACATGAAATAACAACCAGTCTCATCAATCATTAAGAGACGCACTTGAGGGGCGCCTGAGTGGCGCAGTCGGTTAAGCGTCCGACTTCAGCCAGGTCATGATCTCACGGTCCGTGAGTTCGAGCCCCGCGTCAGGCTCTGGGCTGATGGCCCAGAGCCTGGAGCCTGTTTCCGATTCTGTGTCTCCCTCTCTCTCTGCCCCTCCCCCCGTTCATGCTCTGTCTCTCTCTGTCCCAAAAATAAATAAACGTTGAAAAAAAAAATTAAAAAAAAAAAAAAAAAAAAAAGAGACGCACTTGAGCACCACGAGACACCATCTTACACTCTGGTCATTTTACACAAAACCATGAGGACTGATTCCCTTCGGCAGAGGCGAGAATGGGATTGAGCAACGTCCGGAACGTTTCTAAAATAGAGATCTGAAGCAAACACGG